GTAACTGAAACCAAAGAAAGTGAAACTGTGAGCTAGGTGTGGTGGCTCACTTCTGTAATCCCAACACTTCGGGAGGCCAGTGCAGGCACATCACCTGACGTCGGGAGTTTGAGATCAGCCCGACCAACATGGAGAAACGCCGTCTCTAATAAAAATACAAAATTAGCCAGCCATGGTGGCAGGCACCTGTAATCCCAGCTACTCAGGAGGCTGAGGCAGGAGAATCGCCTGAACCTGGGAGGTGGAGGTTGCAGTGAGCCAAGATTGCACCATTGCAATTCGGCCTGGGCAACAAGAGCAAAACCCCATCTCAAAAAAAGTAAAAGAAAAGAAAGTGAAACTGTGGGTAAAGAGGGTGACTGCTCATGAACTCTTGGGGTGCAGGCTCTCTATGCTGTGGGAATTCTAAGAAAAGGCGAATAGGGGAGGCTGCGGGTGAGGGGAGAGCTTCCTGGAGAGCCGAGTGGTCTTTAGAGGTGACCTGGTAAAGTTTGGAGGGCTGCAATGCAAGGCAAGGGCAGGGCAGGAGCCATGACCATCTTGGCAGGGCCAGGGATTCCCGCTGAAGCCCCGCACCACCATGCAAGTGTCTAGATCTGGGGAGTGTGCATGGAAGAAGGCTCAACCATACAGAGTCCTGGGGAACTGATCAACACAGTGGAGCAAGGGAGGACAGAGAGAGAGCCAAGACCTTCTGCATGCTAGATCAGATGCAGGTGCCAAGAACATCTGAGAAAACATGCATTCATTTATTAAGACTGTTCTTAAGGTTTTGGAAAAAATTATAAAAGTATTTTCTCATAGAAATGTGGACAATAGAGAAAATAGCAAAAAGTTAGAAAAATCACCCATAGTTCTCATCACCCAGACACAGCCCTGGTTTACATTTTGTGATTTCCTTCGTCTTACATCTTTATTAATTTAAAAACTATTGCCGGGCACGGTGGCTCAAGCCTGTAATCCCAGCACTTTGGGAGGCTGAGGCAGGTGGATCACGAGGTCAACAGATCGAGACCATCCTGGTCAACATGGTGAAACCCCATCTCAACTAAAAATACAAAAAATTAGCTGGGCATGGTGGCGGTGCCTATAATCCCAGCTACTCAGGAGACTGAGGCAGGAGAATTGCCTGAACCCAGGAGGCGGAGGTTGCGGTGAGCCGAGATCGCACCATTGCACTCCAGCCTGGGTAACGAGCGAAACTCCGTGTCAAAAAAAAAAAAATTATTAATTTTTAGATTTAACTTTTAAACTAATTAATAGTAAAAATTGTAATTATAAATATAAAACAAACTTCCTTATTGTAAAAACGCATTACAAGTAGGAAGAAAATGAAAGTTCAAATTCCACCCGTCATTAAGTCCTATCCCTTAGGGAAAATCAGTGTTAAGGGTTAGTTAGTAAATGTCCTCTGAACTTTTTTTTTTCTGTACCTATACACTCACTGATAGTTTTACTGTTTTAAAACAGGATCGGGGCCAGGCGCGGTGGCTCACGCCTGTAATCCCAGCACTTTGGGAGGCTGAGGCAGGTGGATCACAAGGTTAAGAGATCGAGACCATCCTGGTCAACATGGTGAAACTCCGTCTCTACTAAAAATATAAAAATTAGCTGGGCATGATGGCACGTGCCTGTAATCCCAGCTACTCAGGAGGCTGAGGCAGGAGAATTGCTTGAACCTACGAGGCGGAGGTTGCGGTGAGCCGAGATCGTGCCATTGCACTCCAGCCTGGGTAACAAGAGCGAAACTCTGTCTCAAAAATAAATAAATAAAAATAAAATAAAATAGGATCAGAATACTGTTCATTAATAACTTTTTTTTTTTTTTACAAAGTTAGGATCATTTTGCATGCCCGGTGTTATATTTCCTTTGAGTGTGTGTGTGTGTGTATGTGTGTTTCAATACAGTGTTGCTCTGTCACCCAGGCTGAAGTGTAGTGGTGTGACCTCAGCTCACTGCAACCTCCACCTCCCAGGTTCAAGCAATTCTTCTGCCTCAGCCTCCTGAGAATTGCTTGAACCTGGGAGGTGGAGGTTGCAGTGAGCTGGGACTACAGATGCACACCACCACACCTGGCTAATTTTTTATATTTTTAATAGAGATGGGGACCACGATGTTGACCAGGCTAGTCTTGAACTCCTTACCTCAAGTGATCTGCCTGCCTCAGCCTCCCAAATTGTTGGAATTACAGGCATGAGCCACCTTGCCCAGCCCATCTTTTTTAAATAGAATTTATGTAAATCTCCAAGCCTAAGTTTTTTTTGTTTTGTTTTTTTTACTGAGTCTCACTCTTGTCACCCAGGCTGGAGTGCAGTGACACGATCTCGGCTCACTGCAACCTCTACCTCCCGGGTTCAAGCTATTCTCCTGCCTCACCCTCCTGAGTAGCTGAGATTACAGGTGCTCACCACCACACTCGGCTAATTTTTGTACTTTTAGTAGAGATGGGGTTTTGCCATGTTGGCCAAGCTGGTCTTGAACTCCTGACCTCAGGTGATCCACCCGCCTAGACGTCCCAAAGTACTGGGATTACACGTGTGAGCCACCACCCCTGGCCAGAAATATCTTTTTCAATTTTGTGTCAGATGTAGAAAATTAAAGAAAAAGGCATTTTTCTGAGATCTCTCAAGTGAAATAAACATGGCCTCTGAGGTGAACATTTTACATTCATTCATTCATTCATTCATTCAATTTTTGAGACGGAGTCTTGCTCTGTCACCAGGCTGGAGTGCAGTGGCATAATCTCAGCTCACTGCAGCCTCCGCCTCCCAGGTTCAAGTGATTATTCTGCCTCAGCCTCCCAAGTAGCTGGAACTACAGGCATGCACCACCATGGCTGGCTAATTTTTGTATTTTTAGTAGAGACAGGGTTTCACCATGGTGGCCAGGATGGTCTCGATCTCTTGACCTCATGATCCGCCTGCCTTGGCCTCCCAAAGTGCTGCGATTACAGATGTGAGCCACTGCACCCGGCCACATTTTATTGTTAAAATATAAAATATTATACTGTTAAAATATAAAATATTATTATTTTGGAAAAATTTTAAATTTCCAGCCTTTGCCTTTTACCTACACAACATTTTAATAAACTATTTTTTGTTTGTCAGGATATAGATTTCTTGATTGCCTATGTCATAGTCCACGCATATTCTACTCAGTCATTGCACTATTTCCATAGACACTTCTGTTTTGGGCTAGGTCCGTGAGACAAAATGCCTGCCTTCTGGAGCTCACAGACTGGTTGGGACCCCACAACCTGACCAGTTTCCACTTAGTGCAATAAGCGGCAGTAGTGGATCTTGTGCTGGGTGCAATGGAAGCTTGCAGGGTGTGGGGTGGTTGGGGGTGCAGTCAAGGAAGGCTTTGTGGAGACAAGGCATTTTTGCAGTGGATCTTGAAGGACAAGCAAGAAGTCCCACAAGCAGAGGCCAGAGGTCTGAGTGGAGAACTGCCAGCAGCCATGTGACTCCTTAGCCAGCTCCCCTCGTTCTGTAGTTTGTTTCTGCTTTTCCTTTAGAAATGACAGATTCTGCAAACAAGAGCTCCAGTTGTTTATCAGGGGTCCTGCCAGGCCCTAAGTGCCAGGGGCTCCTGCTCCCTGCTGGAGAGGCTGTGGGCCCCTGATTAGGGAGGCAGCTGAGGCAGGGGACCATGGGCACTGCAGGTGGGAGCACTGGCAGGCCACAGTGAGGGGCAAAGGTGAAGACCTGCAGGATAGGAGCAGGATGCTGTACCGGGGAGAGGGAGGGCAAGGGACAGAAACAGACCTTGTCCCTCTGTGCTTCCAGGACATACCCCTGCCCTTCTCTGCTTGGTGAGGTGCTAGTCTATTAAGGCCCCTTCAGATGGCACTCCTCTGTAATTCCGTTTATCTAGAGCTTCCCCATAGCATCATTCAGCATCAATTTTTCTCCTTTGCCCACTTAGCAGGTTGAGAGTGCGAACTCTGGAATGTTGGATGTTGTAGTTGAGAGTGGGAACTTTGAATCAAGAATAGTAATAGCAGAATAGGCACAGTGGCTTACGCCTGTAATCCTAGCACTTTGGGAGGTTGAGGCGGGTGGATCACTTGAGGTCAGGAGTTTGAGAACAGCCTGGCCAACATGGTGAAACTCCGTCTACTAAAAATATAAAAATTAGCTCTGCATGATGGTGGGTGCCGGTGATCCCAGTTACTCAGGAGCGCTGAGGCAGGAGAACTGCTTGAAGCCAGGAGGTGGAGGTTTTGGTGAGCCGAGATGGAGTCAGTGCACTCCAGCCTGGGCAATAGTAATAGCAGCTAACATTTATCAAGCATTTGCCATATGCTAGGCACTGTATTGCATGTTGTGAATCTACTTTCTCACTTAATACTTCCCAGCTGTCTGTGAGGTAGGAATCATCATTATCCCATGTTGCTGAAGACGAAACTGAAGGACAGAGAGATTAGTAAACCTGAATTATCACAGCAGAGATTCAAACCCCTGTCTGAGTTGCAATTTCCTCATTTATAACACAAAGATGAAAATAATATCTTTTTATGTTGGCCAAAAGATACAAAATTTCAGCTAGATGGGAGGAGCAAGTTCATGAGACCTATCGTACAACATAGTGACTATGGTTAATACAAACATACTGTGGTGGGGTGCGGTGGCTCATGCCTGTAATCCCCGTACTTTGAGAAGCCAAGGTGGGCAGATCACCTGAGGTCAAGAATTCAAGACCAGCCTGGTCAACATGGTGAAATTCCGTCTCTACTAAAATACAAAAATTTGCTGGGTGTGGTGGCACACATCTGTAACCCCAGCTACTCGGGAGGCTGAGGCAGGAGAATCATTTAAATCCAGGAAGCGGAGTTTGCAGTAAGCCGAGATTGCATCACTGTACTCCAGCCTGAGTGACAGAGACTCTGTCTCAAAATAAATAAATAAAAACTTATTGTATATGTGAAAACCGCTAAGCGCAGTGTTTATGTTCTCACCACACACACACACCCACACACAAAATATGAGGCAATGCATATGGTAATTAGCTTGATTTAATTATTCCACAGGATATACATATTTCAGAATATCACACTGTACCCCATAAATATGTACAGTTTTTTGAAATGACCAAATTCATTAGGGGTCCCATATCAGCCCTGAAGAGGCAATAGGACCAGGATTGGCAGGTGGAGGCTCCATTACCCAGAAAACAGGACCAGGATCAGCAGGTAGAGGCTTCAGGAAAGAAAGTTTTCACTTAGTAGGTCAAGGAATGTTCTAGTGGTCAGAAATAATCAGTAATAGAACAGGCTGTGAGAGGGGGTTATGTTCCCATATCCAGAAGTAGACAAGAGCTTGGATTCATCTGTCCCAGGATAGCATATAATGAATCTGGTAGAAGCTTGGATGAATATATATATACAGTTCCTTTTAGTTTCAGGTCATACTATGCATGAGAAGAAAAAAGGCTTTTCTGCAAATATCTTGTAACGTACATAATTCCACACTACCCTCATAAGCAGAATTCCAACATGTAGAAATCACAAGTTCTCAGAACTCCTTCACTCATCACTTTATTTATGTATTTATTTGAGACAGAATCTTACTCTGTCTCCCAGGCTGGAGTAGGGGCACCATCTTGGCTCACTACAAACTCCGCCTGCTGGGTTCAAGTGATTCTCCTGCCACAGCCTCCTGAGTAGCTAGGATTACAGTCACGCACCAACACTCCTGGCTAATTTTTTTGGTTTTGTTTTATATTTTTATTTTTTATGTATGTATGTATGTATGTATGTATTTATTTTTGAGACGGAGTTTCGCTCTCGTTACCCAGGCTGGAGTGCAATGGCGCGATCTTGGCTCACTGCAACCTCCACCAACTCCCCACCAGCCCCAGGTTCAAGCGATTCTCCTGCCTCAGCCTCTGAGTAGCTGGGATTACAGGCGCCTGCCACCATGCATGGCTAATGTTTATATTTTTAGTAGAGATGGGGTTTCACCATATTGGCCAGGCTGGAAACTCCTGACCTCAGGTGATCCACCCATCTCTGCTTCCCAGAGTGCTAAGATTACAGGTGTGAGCGACCATGCTGGGCATACCTGGCTAATTTTTTGTGTTTTTAGGAGGCCCTCGTCAGCCTCCCAAAGTGCTGGGATAACAGGCATCAGCCGTCGTGCCTGACCCCACTCATCGTTTTAATTCAGTGTCCAGACATGGGCTCCAGGAACTTAATAGGGTTGCAGAAAGTTTAGCACAAGAGCCACAGGACTGGACAATGCACTCCTCTTGCCTATTTTTATTTTGATATAATTTCAGACTGAAAGAAAAATCGTAAGAATTGCACAGAAATTCTCATATAGTGTTCATACAGATTCTCCAACTGTTAACATTTTAATACATTTGCTTTATCATTCTATCTTTATATCTATTTCTATCTTACGTATATACAGTATATTCTTTGATATAAGTTGCAGTCATAATGTCCCTCACCCCTAAATACTTTAGTGTGCATTCTTAGAAGAAGGTCTTCTCTCACACAGTCTCCATAGAATTATAAAAATCAGTTGGGCGTGGTGGCTCACGCCTGTAATCCCAGCACTTTGGGAGGCCAAGGCAGGTGGATCACGAGGTCAAGAGATCAAGACCATCCTGGTCAACATGGTGAAACTGTCTCTACTAAAAATACAGAAAAATTAGCTGGGCATGGTGGTGTGTGCCTGTAATCCCAGCTACTCAGGAGGCCGAGGCAGGAGAATTGCCTGAACGTAGGAGGCAGAGGTTGCGGTGAGCCGAAATCATGCCATTGCACTCCAGCCTGGGTAACAAGAGAGAAACTCCATCTCAAAAAAAAAAAAAGAATTATAAAAACCAGGAAACTGACAGTGAGATGTCTAACCTGTAGATCTTATTCAAATTCACATTTCTCCCAACGCTGTGCTTTACAGAAATGAAAACCAAGTCCCAGATCATGGGTCATATTCAGTTATTCTGTCTCCCAAGTTTTGTTTAACCTAAAATGATTGCTTTGTTTTTCTTTGTCTTCCACGACATCAACATTGTCAAAGAGTCGGCAAAGAACTCTAAGCAAAGTCTTAAAAATGAAGTAATGCCACCAGGCGTGGATCACTTGAAGTTGGGAGTTTGAAACCAGCCTGACCAACATGGAGAAACCCCATCTCTACTAAAAATACAAAATTAGCCAGGCATGTGGTGCATGCCTGTAATCCCAGCTACTTGGGAGGCTGAGGAAGGAGAATCACTTGAATCCGGAAGGCAGAGCTTGCAGTGAGCTGAGATCATGCCATTACACTCCAGCCTGGGCAACAAAAGCGAGACTCCATCTCAAAAAAAAAAAAAAACCTCCTATGCCTTGCTACCTTTCTCCCTTTCTCCAGTTCAGCTTACCCAGCCCCTTCCTACAATTGATGTCCCTTGCCCTTTCCTGTTGTGCACATGAATTCACCATTTGCCTGTCAGTAGAAGTCATCTTCATCCTTTAAATCCTTCCTTTACACTGCTGACAAAGTCAGTGATCTTCTAAAGCCATGCCTCTAACCACACCATGCAAGGCTTAAAACTTTACCCTACCATCCAGGTACAGGGTCCTTTCGAAACCCAAGAACATAGTGTCCCTCTTCTATCCTGTGCCTGCCAACCCTGAACCATCCCCCATCACCATTGTGTGGTTACACCCTGTGAACCCTTTGGGTATCAGCTTCCCCCCAGGGGTAGGATAGCAGCTAATGGAGCAATAAGATAAAACAAGAAAAAGAAGAGGGTGGGGCATTTTGAGATCAGCCTTCCCAGCAGGGTTTCTGAAGCAGCCCAGGTTTCTGTGAAGGTGAGGCATTGTGAGAGGGAGGGAGAAGTGTGTGGCTTCTAGTTCCAGCTTGGAGTTGGACAGAGGAGACAGTCAGTGAGAAGGGGCGATAGGGAGTGAGAAGGAGTTTTTGGGAAGGATGTACTGACTAGAGTTATTAAGAAAAAGGAGATACTTCACATCCTAAACTTGCAACCACACACAGCACGATAGTACTGTCTTCTGTATAAGACTGTGTACTTAGTCATCCAAATTCTCACTTACTGGTTACACAAAGATGCTTCGGAAACTAAAGTACAATTTGAGACAATTTTTAAAAAACTACTTACTGCCTTGGCCAGGTACGATGGCTCACGCCTGTAATCCCAGCACTTGGGAGGCTGAGGCAGGTGGATCATGAGGTCAGGGGTTCAAGACCAGCCCGGCCAAGGTGGTAAAACCCCATCTCTACTAAAAACACAAAAACTAGCCAGGCATGGTAGTATGCACCTGTAACTCCAGCTACTCTGGTGGCTGAGACAGGATAATTGCTTGAACCTAGGAGGCAGAGGTTGTGGTGAGCAGAGATCACACCACTGCACTCCAGCCTAGGTGACAGGGCAAGACTGTCTCAAAAAAGAGAACGTACTACCTCATGTAGGCCTTTATTTCTACTTCTTGACCTAAGTTCCGCAGTCCTCCATGGGTTTCTGGGGCATATAACATGTTTTATTCTGTACTTTATTATTTAGGGAAATTCTCTCTTCCTTACATATGCCTCTCCAGATGTGATCAGATGCCTGATTCATCTTGCAAATCAAGATGACACCAGGAAGTGTCACCTGGTAGTAGGAATAGCCATTGTCTTATTTATTGAATGAATTAGTGCTACATATTCCTACAACTTTTCAGCTTGAAACTTGCATTCGCCCACAAAATTCTATTTCAGACTCATCCTTGCTGCTTTTGCAAATAAATGCAGTTGACAGAATCATTTGCAAATGAAGCAGCGTATCTTACACAGTAAACACTCATCTCAGAGGTGAACAAATCCAGAATGCTTTCTCTCTTCAGGATGCAAGATGTCTTAGTTTTGGCGATTGTTTTACTTTGTTTCCCTTGATGTCTTCTTGTTTACTTACAGGCCACTATAGGCGAGATATGTGCGTCTATGGCCCTGGGGATTTAAAGTGGCTCTATGAATCCTCTAGCATGTTCGCTAACAAGTTGGAGTTGGAGACCTACTCACTTACTGTGGAATGCCTAGAACTGAGGATTCGAGAGAAAACTCTGAAGCAGAGTGAAGTCCCTGGGGAACCAGACTGGTATTTGCTCCAAGAGTAAAAGCTACTTCAAAGAAAATAAAGTATCAACAATAAAAAAAAAAACTAATAACTCTTATTTTGGAATATGTGTCCTACTTTCCTCATGCGTCTTGCCTAGGACACGTGGCAGACCTGGGGACCACCTGTGAGCCTGCGGGAAGAACATCCCAGGTCACTGTGAACACGGAAGGCGTGAAAGTTCAACTGACTGCAGTTGGCAGCTTGGCCATGAGTGGCTTTTCTTAACTCCTCATGTAACTCCTACTCTAACCCATTCTAATCAGTCTTAAATAATGTTATGTGTTTTGTAAAATGCCCTAATTAAGGAGTGTCCCTTCAAAAATTAGTGGTTTTCCCTGTCTTCCTTATTGAAAGAGGGATCCAGCTTTTTTGTTTTTAAGACAGGGGCTCACTTTGTCACCCAGGCTAGAGTGCAGTGGCATGACTTCAGCTCACTGCAGCCTCGACCTCCTGGGCTCAAGCCATCCTCCCACCTCAGTCCCCAAGTAGCTGGGACTACAGGTGCATGCCATCATGCCCTGCTAATTTTTTTGTACTTTTTTGTAGAGATGGGGTCTCGCCATGTTGCCTAGCTAGGCTGTCAGCTGTTTGATATGTAAGTAAGGACAGAAAGTCACCTTAAAGCAGAATAGTTCCTTCTTGCTGTGCCAAGAACCACTAAATGATTAACACTTATGTAAGTATAGAGCCACGAGCCTTAGTATTCTGGGGAAAAGGTTTAACCACGCTCTTTGAATTTTGAGAGCTCTGTGAAAATTGGCCTCCAAGAAGGCAGGGGAACACTGTCTTCCTAGGGCTCGAGCCTGTTTGTAAAAGATGATCTGCTAGCAGAATGTAACCCTCAGCCATTACTTTGCCTTAAAAACCTAACATATTTATAGCAGCATTACTCACAATAGCCAAAAGGTGGAAGCAACCCAAATGGACAGACAAATGGATAAACAGAATGTGGTGCACGTACATTCGATAGAATATGATTCATCCTGAAAAAGAATTCTGACATATGCCACGACATGGATGAACCTTGAAAACATTGTTACGTGCAATAAGCCAGACATTAAAGATCACATATTATCTGGTTCCATTTATATGAAATGTCCAGAATAAATCTATAGAGACAGAATGGTGGCTGCCAGGGGATGGGAGGAGAAGGGGAATGGGGAGTTATTGTTCAATTGTTACAAAGTTTCAGTTTGAAAAGATAAAAAGTTCTGGAGATGGATGGTGGTGATGGTAGCCAACAACATGAATATACTTAATGCCACTGAACTGTCCATTAAATCAATAAAGATGCTCATCAATAGAGAAGGGACTGATTTTTAAATTTGCATAATAAACCTTACTTGTGTTTACTGTGCTTTTCCTGGTCACCTCTCCATAACTTGCCTCCCTCAATTTCCTTTGAGATGAAGGTCACAGGTGTTAAAGCCTGAATTTTAAGCCACCTCTATGAGAGTCACTCATTTTTCCCTGGGTATCTTCTGGGTCTGGGTATGTACACATGTTAACAATTGTCAGCTTTTCTCTCGTTAATCTGTTTTCCATTATGGTGGGGGAGGGCACCTAAAAACTACGAAGGGTATAGGAAAAAAATTTTTTTCTAACCTACAGAACTGTCAGACAACTTCAGCCCTAGCAGTGATCCCAAATGAGAAGGCCAGTCTTTATTGCTGATCCTATTTAAAATATTTTCAAAAAGATGACATGATGATTTGGCAGTGAAAAGGGTACAGAAAACAAATCAGCAGGGCCAAAATTAGACTTTAGTGGAGCCCATATTTGTTTTTAGAGAAATGACCACAAATCCATGTTTTCTTGCATATTCATTGTAAAGAAATGACCAGTTTATTTCATTTATAACAATCTTGTGTGAAAATAAGTATTATTTTTCATTGTTATTTATTATTTTTGAGACAGAGTCTTGCTCTGTCATCCAGGCTGGAGTGCGGTGGTGCAATCTCGGCTCACTGCAACCTCCGCCTCCTGGGTTCAAGTGATTGTCCTGCCTCTCCTCCCGAGTAGCTGGGACTACAGGCACTGACACCACACCCAGCTAATTTTTTGTATTTTTAGCAAAGACAGGGTTTTGCCTTGTTGCCCAGGCTGGTTTTGAACTCCTGAGCTCAGGCAGTCTGCCTGCCTTGGCCACCCAAAGTGCTGGGATTACAGGTGTGAGCCATTGCGCCTGGTCAGTGTGATTTTTTAAAAAAGTGTCTAAATGAAGCAAGAGCAGGGTTGGCCAGATAAATAGTTCTGCCTCTGAAGGCCATCCTATCTTTGTTCCAGTGATTTGCCTCTCCCATTGTAGTGCAAAAGCAGCCAAAAGGGAAACCAGTGAGCTTGGCTACCTCTCATTAAGCATTATTTAAATCCAAGGTGGTTGGATTTGGACCATGAGCTATAGTTTGCAAATCCCTGGTCTAAAAGGGCCCCTTTAAAATTTTTAAAGTAAAAATTATAAGTGGTTAAAAAAAGTATTGTCATAGTTTAATTGGCAAGGTTTTATATTTCTTAGTGGTACAAGAAATTATGGAACTTTACATTTAGTAGAATTTTAGATTGAATGACATACAGTAAGGGGCAGAGCATCACACAATAAGGCTTGATGAGAATGAATAGAAGTTAGCAGTTAGATAATGATTCTAAGGTTGTGGGCACCACTGTTAAACTCAGTTTGGTGGGGCAGCATATAACATGGCATGCAGAACTTGATGAAGCTTATTAAGATTTGGATTTAGGGTGTGATGAGGGAGTTCAGGACAAAATGAAAGCATCAGCATACATTCATATGTTTAAAAGGCTCCTGGTGGTATGAGCTCACAAGGGAATCTCCTGATCTGCAGGTTGCAAAGATCCATGGGGGAAGTGTGGTTTCATGAGTGGGGTTGCACCACTCACACTCACCACTTCCCTTGGCTGGGAGCAGGGGTTCCTTTGGCTCCAGGCTGTTCCCAATTGGGTCATCTCCCCACCCTTTTCTTTGTTCTCTGTGGGTCAAGTTGTTTTCCTAATCAGTCCCAATGCAAGAACCTGGATATTTAAGTTGAAGGTGCTAAATTCACTTGCCACTTTCATTCCGCTCCATGAGCACTGCAGCTGCTTCTAATCAGCTATCTTGGCCCCCTCTGCCTTTGAAGTGACTTTCTAAAGGAAAAACTGACCATGCCAATCCTATCCTTAAAATTCTTTGATTGTCTCCTAATTTTAATAAAATCCAAATTCTTTACAGTGACCTAAAATCCCTGCCTAAACTTACTTATGACTACCACACTAGCCATGTATTTGCAACAGGGAACAGTATCAACCTTTAAGGAGGTGAAAATTGGTTCTGGAGGAATAGAGAGGGGATAAGTCTTACTTTTTCCAATGTGTAAGGAACAGGCATAGAGCATATATAATAAATATGGAATTAAAATCTTATAGAGGGGAACAATTAGAAAAAGAGTGTGAAGAAAAATTGAGAATCCACCTAACCTATAAAGACCAGTGCTACGCAATACGGTAGCCCCTAGCAACGTGTGGCTACTGAACGCTTGCAATGTACCTAGTGCAAAAGGAAAAGCAAAGCTTTAATTTTGCTTAAATAGAAATTCAATAGCCATATGGGGCTAGTGGCTGCGATATCAGACAGCACAGCTCTACGCACATGCTATCTGTATCTATCCATGCTATAGTCAGGATACTTTGCTAGAAATAACAAAAATTCAGAGTGGATTACACCTAAGTCCAGATAAGAGAGAATCCAGGGTTGGCTAATTCAACAGCTTCGAAGCCATTATCATGGATCCAGGGTCTTTCCATCTTCCTTCACTGCCATCCCAGGTGCATCAGCACTACCCTAAGATTGTTTTCCTGATAGTCACAATATGTCTGCCACAGTATCAGGCATCACATCTAAAACTAATGCTCAGTACGAGACTGCAGCTGTCTCTTTTTTTGTTCCTCCTTTGAAAAATGAGATAAAACATCACCTCACATCTTGTTAGCCAGAATTTTATCAGATAGTCTTCACTGACCACTGGCAAAAAGAATGGGATTACTACACATGACTCAGGTGCTATGAGAGCCATTCCCTGGAGCTGAATATAGTGCTGGTCCCCATAACATATGGCTAGAGGAGGAAGGCTTATCAAGCCAGGCCTTGTAGGAAAGTAGGGACTTGCACAGCTTGTATTAAGGAAGGAAGAGTGAAAGCAGAACTTCACCCTCTGTTCTAGGTAGAACTAAGCTGAACTAGTTGAGAATATCCCTGTGCCAGTGGTTTTCAGAGTGTTGTCATCCAGAAACTTTTTAGAGAATTGAAAATCATCAGGTTCCACCCAAAACTTATTGAATCAAACTCAGGATGGTGCCCAAGAATCTGTGTTTCAACAAGCCTTCTAGGAGATTCTGATACACCCTAGTTTGAAAACATTGCCCTATTCCAGTGGTTTTCAATTGTGTGTGTGTGTGGGGGGGGGGCATTTTTGTCCCTAGGGAACATTTGGCAATGTCTAGAGAAATTTTGGTTGTCACAATAAAGTGCAGGGTGCCTCTGGCATCTAGCAGTAGAGGTCAGGACAACGTGCAAGACAGTCTCCCAGAGCAAAGATGCGTCCAGCCCCAAATGGCAATAGTGCCAAGGTTGAGAAACCATGGGGCAGAAGAAGCTCCTTTACAGTGGCTTCAGCCCACCTGGCTCTCAACCCAGGTTTCAGGTCTTTGAACCTGGTTAGCGCAAGGATTAGCATCTGTCAAGCACCTTCAGAGCAGAAGAGATGTCAGATTGCCTTTGCCCACAGTCTGATCAACTTCCTTCTAAGCAATCAGCCTTCTAGTGGTCAACTCAGATCAGTCCCTAGGGTCACTTAAGAATCAAAACACAATGATTATTTCAGGACAAAAAAAAAAAATCTTATAAGGAACACAGTCAATATACACATTGGCTGGCTTTTATGAGGGCCTAATTCCTCTATCTTAGAAACTTGACAGGTTGTTTGGATCGAGCAAACCTTTTCCACGCTTTTTTGTTGTTTTGTTTTTGTTGTTTTTGAGACAGAATTTCACTTTGTTGCCCAAGCTGGTGTGCAATGGTACAATCTCAGCTCACTTCAACCTCTGCCTCCTGGGTTCAAGCGATTCTCCTGCCCCAGCCTCCTGAGTAGTTGGGATTATAGGCATGTGCCACCATACCCAGCTAATTTTTGTATTTTTAGTAAAGACAGGGTTTCTCCATGTTGGTCAGGCTGATATCGATCTCCCAACCTCAGCTGATCCTCCCGCCTCAGCCTCCCAAAGTGCTGGAATTACAGGTGTGAGCCACCACGCCCAGCCTGATGCTTAGGAATCTTTCTGTTCAACTGAGTCTCTACCACCACCTCTAGCTCTCTCTCATGGGGCCAGGAAATGGAGATCAAGCATCCAGTTCTAACTAACATTTTCTAGACAAGACAGAAGCAAGGAACCTTACATTGCCTATGGATATAATTTCTAAGAGAGTTTGAAGTTACAGAAAGCAGCAAATCATATCACAGTAGGCAATGCCACAATCAGTTCAGCTCAAACCCACCTCATATTAAACCTATTTTCCAAGGGTTTTGTAGCACAGCTTGTTCTACCATGATTACCACATGAGCTCTTCTGACACTTACCTAATATAACACACTTCCAGGAACAGATGTGCTGGTGAAGTTTATTTACATTAATGTTCTCTTATGTCAATCACATGTAAGCCCTGGGTGCTAGTTTTCATATACAGAATCCAGTACCTTCCTGGGAGAACTACTTTTTTCCCTAAACAAAAGAAGACACAATTAATATGATAACTGGGGAGCTTAATGAACATCTTGCTTCACTTTGGGGTGTCATCTGGAATTTCTGAGTAAACTGTATCCAGCGGCTGCCAGTGGCAATTCATGAGGGAGTCGTAGAGTTCTTCACTTTTCACCATAAACTCTTGGTTTGATTCCTCAATATTCAAATGAAGATGTGGATCTGCAGAAGTCAATAATGGATATGAAAGAAATAGAGTTTTACAGAACACATATTAGAAAGTTTTTAGAAAGCATTTGCAGGAAGTACTGCAGATAGTCAAGGTTAAAATTCTTAAATTGTGTATTTCCTTTCAATTAGACTTGAAAATAGAAATTTAAGCTATAAAAGTATTAGTATTGGCCAGGCATGGTGGCTCACATGTAATCCCAGCACTTTGGGAGGCAGAGGTGGGTGGATCACCGGAAGTCAGGAGTTCAAGATCAGCCTGTCCAACATGGTCTCTACTAAAAATACAAAAATTAGCTGGGCATGGTGGCAGATGGCTGTAATCCCAGCTACTCAGGAGGCTGAGACAGAAGAACAGATTGAACCAGGGAGTCAAATGTTGCAGTGTGCTGAGATTGCACCACTGCACTCCAGCCTGGAGACAAAGTGAGACTCTATCAAAAAAAAAAAATTTTTTAAAGTAGTAGAATCAACAGACTTAACGAGCATCTGACCTCGACAGAAGAGATGGTGAAAAAAAAATGGACAGATTTGAGATGCTTAAGAGATGGATTCAACTTAGAAGGAAAGAAGAAAAGGAAGGTCAAGAACCACTGCCATGTTCCTGGCATGAGCCAGGTAGATACAATGCTAAACAGTGAGCCAAGCCAAGGGCCCCAAGGACAGGGGTTTATAAAAATAAATATGCTACTTTACCTGCTCAGTTAACACATTCATGTTAGTGAATAAATTTTACATAGCAACTAATTCAGAAACACAGGATGACTTGGCCTTCTATCTCTGAAACATGGAACATTATGAGGAGGTGGTATTATGTTATAGCAAATGTATTAGACCTGGATTTTCAGCCCAAGTTGCCAGGCTTCCAGAGCTTGCCAAGGCTTTCAAGGTCATTAATTTTTTTTAATGTAACCTGTCTTTTTCCTCTCCTTGTACTGAATGTAATGGAAGAAGCCTTTTGTGTTTTCCTTTTTAATTTTTCCAAGCCTCAGTTCCTTGAGGATCATAATTTGCTTCCTAACACTCATATAAGTTCACACTATTCATCTGTAGTGCAATGGGACTAAATCTTGGCCCCACAAAATTCTTCTGTTAAAGCCTAAACCCCACAGTGTGAAGGCATTTGGAGATGAGGACCAGGAGGTCAGATGAGGTCATATGGGTTGGTTGCTGGTATGATAGTAGTGCCCCTATAAAAAGAGAGCAGGCTGAGCACAGCAGTTCACACCTGTAACCCCAATACTTTGGGAAGCTAAGGCCAGCGGATCACTTACGTCTTGGAGTTTAAGATCAGCCTGGGCAACATACTGAGACCCCATCATCACAAAATATAAAAATAAATTTTAAAAGAAGATAAAGCAGAGAACTTGCTCACATTCTCTCCTACAAGGCATGCAAAAAGAGGTCAAATGTGGAAACAGGAAGAAGGCTGACTGTCTGCAAGCCAAGAAGAGAGCCCTCACCAGAAATCAAATTAGCCTGGATATTGGATTTCCATCCTCCAGAACTGCAAGAAGATAAATTTCTGTTTAAACCACCCATGCTGTGGTATTTTGCTGTAGTAGCCCCAGAAGATTAATGCAGTACCCTTCTATATTTATCATTTTGGAACCAAAATGGTCAAATCAGCATTAGGCATCATATAAATTTCATGAGCTACTTCTCATTTTTCTTCACTGGAATCACTGGTGACTGTGTTGTCTGATTCTTAAACTTTAGAGCTTCCCAACCTTTCTGAACCATCTTTCCCTTGAGGATTTCTGATCATAAAAGTAGAAGTTTCCCTTTTTCCCCCCCAAAACATTCTGAAATTTTAATACACTTCTGCCCCCAGTTCCTTTCCTTCACCATTGTTACAGGCAGTTGTTTGCTAAAGGGTCCCTGACCGCATGCCCCTAGTGGGGAGAGAGGTGTCAGAATCATGTGCTTATGAGCATGCTCTCTACTTAACCCGCAGCCAAGAGAACAGATGAGGTGTGGTTAGCTCCAAACCCTGGATGATATGATCTCTGCCCTTCCAGTGATGTTGACCAAAACTATAATAGAAGCCTATACAGGACAAACTAATTATGTCTTCCCTAAACCTGTGCATCTTTTAGACCAACGCTGTCCAACACTAGCCACATGCGGCTATTGAGTGTTTGAGCATTGCTAGCCTTGACTAAGATGTGATGTAAGGATAAAATACACACCACATTGAAAGCAGAATGGTGGTTGCCTGAGGGAAAAGAGAGTGAGGAGTTACTGTTATTTAATGGGTAGGGAGTTTGACGTTATAAAATGAAGAGTTCTGGAGATGAATAATGATGGTTACACAAAACTATGAATGAACTTAATACCACTGATACATTTAAAAGTCTATTGCTTCTCAGCCTTTTGGCTAAGACCAAATGTGATACATTGACAAGTCAGGATGATAAATTTTATGTTACGCATATTTTACCACAATTAAAAAAATTTTTAAATCTGCTTTAAGGTACAATCTGAATAGCCCCCAAAATAAGGATCCCCCACAATCTGCAGGTGAGAAGGCAGCCATAAAAGAAAAACAATAGAAAAAATATACATTGTATTTCAAAGACTTGATGTAAAATGAAAGTGATTAATTTTTATATTGATTGCATTTGGAATAATACCTTGGATATTGTCTTAGATTGGGCTGCTAACAACATATCAGAGACTGAGTAGTTTATAACAACACACAGTTATTTCTCACAGTTTTAGAAGCCAGAAGTCCAAGATCAAGATGTCAGCCTGGTTGGGTTCTGGTGAGGACCCTCTTCTGGGCTGCACACTGCCCAGAAGTCATATCTTCACATGGGAGAGGGCAGAGAGAGGAATCAAGCTCCCTTGTGACTCTTGTAAGGTTACCAATTCCATTCATGAGGACTCTACCCTGATGACCTCACCTAATCCTAATCACCTCTCTAAAGACCCACATCCTAAAACTATCGCATTGGGTGTGAGGGTTTCAATATATGAATTTGGCAAAGAAAAAGAACGCAAATTCAGTCCATCGCAGATATTAGGTTAAGTAAGAAACATTATTGGGCCAGGCACGGTGGCTCATGCCTGTAATCCCAGCACTTTGGGAGGCCGAGGCGGGTAGATCACTAGGTCAAGAGATCGAGGCCATCCTGGTCAACATGGTGAAACCCCGTCTCTACTAAAAATACAAAAAATTAGCTGGGCATGGTGGTGTGTGCCTTGTAATACCAGCTACTCAGGAGGCTGAGGCAGGAGAATTGCCTGAATCCAGGAGGTGGAGGTTGCGGTGAGCCGAGATCATGCCATTGATTGCACTCCAGCCTGGGTAACAAGAGAGAAACTTTGTCTCAAAAAAAAAAAAAAGAAAGAAAGAAAAAAATAAAGAAAGTAACATTATTAATTTCACCAGTCTCTTGAGTTGGTTCTTTAATTTGGCTACTAAAAAATTTTAAGGGAGGAGGACTCAAGATGGCGCTGTGAGAACAACCCAGGATTGGAGCTCTCGTTGAATCCGCAAAGAGGTGAGTCGGAGTTGCATTTCCAGACTGATCTTTGTTGCCCACAGAACGGGGAAACTCCCAAGTGTAAGGGAGACACGGGACGCCAGGCAGTAAGTCTGCCTGGCGAAGCCGGCAGCCAGGGCGGCGGTGGCCAGCCTTACCCAGCAATCCCCAGAGGGCGCGCTTCTCTGGGTGCCCTGTTGAACCCGCAACCTGAGACTTGAGAGGGCTGGACTTGAGACTGAACGAGACTTGGACAGTAGGCCAGCCCAGGGGATTGCAGAGACAGAGCGTTCGGGGTACCCAGTGGGCCAAACAAAACCGCGTTTTCAAACTATCCCGAGCAGACGGTCCAAGACACTCTGTGGGGGAGGGGCGTCCACCACTACCGAGGCAACCCGCCCCAACTGAGATACACGCACACTGCTGACGCAGTCAGCCATTGCCAAGGCAACCCGTCCCTACTGAGATACACGCCCACTGCTGAGGCAGCCTCCCATTGCCGAGGCAACCCGTCCCTACTGAGATACACGCCCACTGCTGACGCAGCCTGCCGTTGCCGAGGCAACACGCTACAAGGAAGAGACTCCGCCGCAGGGCGTGGCGGAGACCACAGCAGAGCCTGCAGGAACAGGGCGAATCACACAACAGCAGGGCGGAGACTCGGCAGGCAAACAGTGGCTAGTCTGCCTCCTAGCTGGGCAGGACACCTCAACGAACATCGAAAAATAAAGCCCGAACCCCCCCAACACAGAGCATTTGAGAAAAAAAGGGTTTTTTAAATGAGCTCTGTTGCAGCAGAATCAAACATAGCAGCCTAACAGCCCTGAATGAACAACAGAGCTCACAGCTCAGAAATTGAGCTCCTTTTTAGGAGCTGTCTCCTCAAGCAGCTCCCTGACCCCTCTATATCCAAAAGACTGACATTTGGCAGGCATCATCCTGGGACAAAGATAGCAGAAAAACAAACGGGTAGCATCCCTCACTGTGCCACAGCTGCTAGAGGTGCACCCCAGACAAGCAGGGCCTGGAGTGGACCTCAGCAGTCGTACAGCAAAGGGGCTAGGCTGGTAGAAGGAAAACCAAGTAACAGAAATACGTCATCATCAACAATCTGGGTGTCCACTCAGAGACCCAATCGAAAAGTCAGCAACTACGCAGACGACAAGCGGATAAACCCACAAAGATGGGAAGAACCCAGCGAAAAAAGGAGGAAAACACCCGAAACCAGAACACCTCGCCTCCTAGAAAGGACCAAAACTCCTCCCCAAAAAGGGAACAAAGCTGGACGGAGAATGACTGTGACGAAATGACGGAATTAGACTTCAGAAGGTGGATAATGAGAAACTTTTGTGAGCTAAAAGAACATGTATTAAATCAATGCAAAGAAACTAAGGAACTTAAAAAAAGATATGAGGAAATGATAACAAGAATGGATAACTTAGAGAGGAATATGAATGAATTAAAGGAGCTGAAAAACACAATACGAGAACTTTGCGAAGCATG